AACTGCGCGGCACCGGGACTCGAACCACGGACCTCTTGCATGCGAGGCGGATGCTCTAACCACTACGCCATCGCTTAAATTGAGGACGACGCAGCGAGCAATGGAAAGAAAAATGGTGGATGTAACCTTAAGAGACAAGAAGAGAGCAGAGTGGATTAGGGGACAACGGGGGTTAAGGATATCATAGTTGAAATAAAGAAGAGGAAATGGACATGGGCCGGGCATGTAGCGCGTAGACAGGATAACCGCTGGGCATTAAGGGTAACTAACTGGATTCCCAGAGAAGGGAAGCGGGTTAGGGGGAGACAGAAGGTGAGGTGGGCAGATGAGATTAAGAAGTTTGCGGGTATAAATTGGCAGCAGCAAGCACAGGACCGGGTTAACTGGCGGAACATGGGAGAGGCCTTTGTTCTGCAGTGGACGTAGTCAGGCTGATGATGATGATGATGATGTCCAAGAATTGACTTTGCCTCTCGTACACTTAGGCCCAACATTCCCCAATGAGTGCAAAGTTATATAAAAGGGCAAAACCATTTTTTTCTTGCCACATGCAAGCTTCGCGAACAGCCCGACAGCGTTTTTGACCATATTCAACCATACACAGGTGCGCTGCGGTGCGGAGAAAGATGGGCTTTTCAGTAGCACCAAGGCGATAGGGCGAGCCAAAAGCCAAAGAGCAAGAGAAATCTTGGAGGCCTCTTCGCCTGATAGTGTGTCAGCCACACACTTGTATATTTTACGAAGAGCATGATTTACTTTTAGAGATGAAGCTCCTAAAGCCATGGGTTTGTCCTTCAATTGAGACCGGTTCATGACTGCCTAGTTTATGAATGACTCAGCAGATGGCGCTAGTGTGAGTGACGGACAGACAAACGGACGGACAGATTCATGGTTCACTGATAAAATCCTCAGAAGCTTCGACCCACTCATTATCGTTCATTCCGTGAACGTGCTGTCATTTTTTTGGTAGATAGGGGCCTGAGGCCCACATCTTGTCACATGGTCATGTCACATGATCAACTTGTCGCATGGTCATGACTGTCACTGCACACCCACTTAGTTTGTTTCAAAAGGGTGTGGTATGTTTTCAATAAACCAGTTGTTAGTCTGCAAACATCCCGCCACTTCATTTCTAGTGTCACGTCATTAGTGCCGTCTTATTGCTTTCAATTATGTCTTACCAACTAGCCCTGAACGTATGCTTCTCGAGTTAATATTTGTAAAGCGTCATTTGGGGATGCAGTAATGGCTATCCAATTTTATAAATATTACATATGTACTCTGACGATACAGTATTGACGTCAGGCTAAGATCAACTGCAGTTAAATGCAATGCCCTGAAGGTGACTAATGGTTTATATGAACAAAGGAATGGTGCGAACAGACATTGGCTATTTGAATTCGAGGGCGTTTATAAATACCAGCACATCTCCACGAAGTGAATGAGGACAAGTGGGTGAAGCCATAGGCCCTAAATTCCATAATGTCTACATTGAAGCACCAACTATACTTCGTTTCATACATCAGGTGCAACGCTGCTGAAGCTGTGCAAGAAGTTCGGCCAGCGAAACATCTAACCCTGCGCGCTTCGTGATAGCTCGCGTAACATCCGATTAGTGCCGGTGCACTCTCGCGTTTTTTTTGTGCTCCCACTTGGCGTGACTGGCGAACAGAAGAAAGCGGGGCGAGCACAAAAGAATGCGGGTACCGAACAATCTTGTGGTGTCCTGTCCCGCACTGACACTGAAAGTCAAGGTGGCCACCATCGTGTTGTACCTAGAGTAGAGAGCCTATATGTGACGCCATGGGAAAATTGAGCTATACATCCACATATTATCAGATGTTCAACGGCGTTTTTGTTTATAAGGCACATAATATCTTTAGTTACTTTTTGCCATAATAACGAAAGAAAAATTAAATTATTAGTGGTAAGAACATCGAACTACTTGCGAATGCATCGACTGCAAGAAGTCTCGCTAGCTTCTGCAACGTTGCCCATGATGTGTGAAACGGAGTGCTATAGTATAAAGCATGGTATAAAGGGCTGACAGGTGGACGTATGTACAAACAGACAGACAGGCAGATGTACACATAAAAGCACAGATGGATGGACGAATGCATGAGCGGATGGACAGATGGATGGATGCGTGGACAGATGGACAAACTGATGCCTGGACAGATGGACTGTGCGGGTGACTATGTATTGTGCTGGCACTGGCACACACCCACAAAATACTGGCACACACCCACAAAGGGGCATAAAGCAGGTTGTTTGCACATATATTTTCTTTTTTTTTGTAATGAAGGTGTTCAGTTTCAGTTTAGGTTTTGCGGAGCGTGATGTACCCTAGCTAGGTCGGCCCTAAGGCACTTCACTCCTAAGTCGTGAGCAGCACCACTTGTGGGGCGAGAAGCACGCAACGTTGAGAGCCCCGACAGCTGTGCCTCATTGCTTTGATAGCTATTGTGGCACAAGTACCCATGGCCGGCGAGTTGGTTCTTCTAGCAAGATTTAATGAGATCGTGGGGAGACATTTTTCCGGGATGCCTTCGTGAATAAATGGGGATACCTGCACTGAAGCGACCGCATTTGCCACATTAGTGAGCGCCTTGCTATAATCGCAGTCAGTACCAACTGCTAAATGTCTGCATCATGTGTGCATAATTGATGTGCTTATTTCATAACCATCATCGTAACCTGTTATTGGTGTGTGCCCACTACCCGCATACTTTGTTCTCATTGCGGCCACGGCACCAGACTACTTTTCACTGCCTTACTATCTATATCTTAAAAGCCTGAAAGGAAAAGGAACGGGCATAAACAGTTCTCTGGGAAATAGCTGCAAGACAGGATGGCCAACAGTCCATTCATGGTAGTTGAGAGCCTAAGCCAAGCTTTAATAAAAATATTCTGCGTGCGCACTATGAGGAAGCTTGCCCCCCAATGATGAAGCCTGGAGGGGGCCCAAGCACCCCAGCGCCATACTCTCCGCGTATGTTAGGAAGAGCCTCGAGTTCTGCTTGAGCACTCAACAACTGTCTGCTCCGAGGACCACGCAGCGGCATGCCAGTCGCAGCGCACAGAGTGTATGGAACCACGCCAGGTTTCGGAACAGCTTTTCAAGTAGACCGCAATGTTCGTGAAACGTTAATTGCGGTTGCAGTGCTGGCTAGACAATCTTGTAAACATTACATAGGCACTCCTATCACACTGCCGTCATGTCAGGTTAAAGTCAATTGTAGTGAAGCACCATCCACTAAAGTTTACGTATATATCTAGCAGTGCTCAGTGCTGCCATCCTCGCTGGCACATACGTTACATGTCAGTTTACCGCTTTTTGTGTGCTAATACTCATGTCTCTGTTGGCATCGTTATGTAACTGCAAACATGCGACTGTTTCACATATATCTATGCATAGCTTGGGCGTAGTTTCATAACTTATCGCTAAAAAAAATTATATAACATACTCACCGTTCTTCCGAATGCTCCGCATAACATCGATTCCCAGGGTGTGTAGAATCTGCCGAATTTTACTCCTTCGTTACAATAAGATCATTTTAATAGAAGTAGATAAGGCATTACGCCAACACACAAAAAGTTTTCGTTTCTTTCAAGCCTGGTGGCACACGTGTCACTGCCCCATTATAAAGGGAATGCTCATAGCATCCATCCATCTACCCATCCATCCTGAAATTTCAGCTGGATATGAACGCCCCTCAGTGAGCATTGAACTTCATTGAATGAAGCCGTATCCATCTCAGAACCCCGCATTTTCAGAAATGCACATGCAATCCTATTATTGAAAGCCCAGCATTTTTTTGCCGTCAACCCAATCAAATCAGGACATCTTGAAGGGCTAGTTGGTTCATTCTCTGCAATGAAAACTGTGCTGAAATAGAAAACGACACCACAAAGAAGGAACACTGAACAGATCGAGAGCAAGATTGCACTGGATCCGTTTAGTCTTCCTTCTTTGTGGTGTGCCTGATTACTTTAGCGCAATTTTTAGTTCACCCCAATCAGACCGCGTGAGAAACTCTGTTGCATATCACATTGCACCTCATTGAAAGCCCAGCAGTTTTGTGCCGTCAACCCAATCAGAACTGGACGCCTTGAAGGACTAGTTGGTTCATTCTCTGCAATCGAAATTGCGCTATAATAGAAAAAGACACCGCAATGAAGGAACACAATGCAATAGCTCGCCCCGCAATAGCTTGTGCCATTCTACACGCTTGTACCCAACCCTGCCCACCTTTCCACAGCATATGCTCGCCACGCTATTAGCCCAGACGAAAACGCCCGTCAGATTGCCCATCGATGCCTTTCATACTTGTAGCTCTATCAGAAACATAATTATGACAGTCGCCATCGGAACGTCCGCTTCATTTCGGGTGACCTCGTTCTTCTGTGGACTCCGTCGTGGCATGTTGACCTGGCTAAAAAGCTTGTACCCAAGTACTCTGGGTTCTACCGTGTGCTACGGCAGGTAACTAATGTTACCTATGATATAGCCCCGCTAAAGCCTTCGGTGCCCTCCACATCTTCAGACATCGTCGCATGTCACTCCCATGAAGTCATACCTTTCGTCCAACAGCTGCTAAAAAGCCAATGTTGTGGGGTTGCGGCTATCACTATGCAGTGGAGTACGAAGAAAAGGACGACGTGTTCATGTTAGAAAAATACAACAGCCGCCATCTTGAATGCTGAAAAAGTTTTCTACTGTAAAGTAGTAAATGTATCCACAACAATATATTGCACCTTGCCATACTCGCATTATTTGAGGGACGTGCTGGCACGTTGTAAGCCCAAAGCTAAAACATGCGGCCCGCGCGCTTGTCGCAGCGGCTGCTGCAGTGTACACACTTCTCCCATGAACACTTGCACGCTCGTTGGAGGCGCTTGTGTGCTTGAAAAAAGTTTTAAGACACAACCTTGTGCCATGGTCACATGTCGCAGGAGAGACAGTGAAATTCTTACACATGCCATGAATTTCATTTTAGTGGAGCTTAAGTGCACAGGAATTTAATGTGCATACAACTAGCAGTGTCCAGATTAGCATATACACTGCGACATGACATGTTGCGAACTAAAGACCTGCCAGAGCGCCAGTAACAAGTCGCAACAATTTGTTGTCAGAAAGAAAGCTTTAGTACAACATATGCATACAAACTGTGATGCACAGCAGGAAATACACAGAAGATAATTTAGCAAGTTCCTCTGAGATAGATTTACCTATTTTGAAGCTGCCAGATCCCACCTACACTTTTCCATCGCACTTGCCTTTGAAGGTTCACAAATTTGTTACAAATAAGAATAATCACAGACACTTTAGCGAGTAGAGCAGACTCTATGTTAGGAAGACTGCAGCTAGCAAGGCTTCGATTTAATCTAGTTGGTGGGCTCAAGTGCCTATTTCTTCGAGAACATTTAGTGCTCTGTGGAGACAAAAACAGAAAATGCTCTTCTTGGAAATCCTCACTGAACAATTGATATCCAGCGCAGGCAAAATCAGCCGCCCATTCCCATGGTCACAGTAATGAGACCCATGAATCCTAGACTGGCATTAATGCAGCACCGGAAGAAAAGGAAGTGTACCAGATGGCATTTTATACCGCGTGGCATCATACAACCCATGGCACAAAAAGACAAACAATGAAGGCGGCATGTCCTAGACGATGCCAACGAAGAAAAGACCTGTGAGCAGCCACGAATAAAAAACAGGAAGAACATTCACCAACAAGAACACCCCAAAGAATGATTGGGCTGTGCAAACTCCTTCAAAAAAAAAAAAACAGGACTGCAGATGGAATTTTTGTGTGTGTGAGTGTTGCAGCACACTATGCGTGTGTCCATATTTTTGTACGCTTCCCTGTAGTCACAGTCAGCGGATGATGCAGTCCGTAATAAATAGTCCTGGGCTGGACGGTGTGCTTCCATAGCACAGTGGGTCTTGTCACTGATGACTAGAGTCCTCCTCAAGGATCTTGCGGCCATCCTTGAACCGGTGTGCGAATGGGTTGGCCGTACTGCAGCATGCCTGCTCAGGCCCAACTGCACAACAAATGTTTTTTTACTGGGTACACACTCGTGCAGGAGCATTTTCATATGACTGGGCACAGTACACCACTAAAAAAAGCCCAACTTCCACTGCAAATGCAAAGCAATGGATGTAGTAGCAATATATGTTATGACAGCTAATTCTACCACGGTAGTCTAGTGGTTATGCTAATCCTCTATGGGCTCAAATCCCAGCTGGGGCAGCCGCATTTCCATGAATGCAAAGTGCCCCTGTGCTGAGATTTAGGCACATAATATATAGAAACTCAAGGCGTTTTGGAGTCTACACTAAGACATCTTTCATTACCATACTGTGGGTTTGGAACCTAAAATTCCACAAGTGAATAATACTGAATGGTGTGGTGTCTCATGCGCTGCCCTCATGGACACACGGCTAGAAACATAGCACATAACTATATATACTGGCAATACCTGACAAAAAAGATGTCTACTGTACATGCAGTGTAAAGTACTCATTGACTGAAATGAGTCAATTTAGGGCTAAGTAACACACTTTCATTTCCCCCGTTTAGTGCGGGTCACATTGGTTTAATTTCAACTCAAATGCCTAAATCAGAGCTTATGTTACCATTAGAGACCAGATTTTGCTCTAATAAGGCAGCAATGGGGGCTAGCAGGTACGTCTTCATGCTTGTGATGTGCTGCAGGGCAAGGGAAAAGAACCATAGATAACACAGAGTGATGTGCAAACTAACTTGTACTCGTGAACAGCCTTATGTATGTAAAAAAAGAAAAAAAGGGGAGGGGAATTCAGTGAAAGAAAACTGAATACGAGAAAAGAAAACAAATCCAGACATCAAACAATTTCAGTGAAATGCATCAAGAATCATGTACGCAGCGATATGGCTTCCTTCAAACAGCCAATTTCTTTTTGAGAGAGAGCAATCGAGGGAGTGCTAACACACCCTTCACTGATATGCATGTAAAAAGCTTCCGTAATCTACCTCTCTCTTTGATCAGCAGATCACGCCAATACACTAAAACCTCTCAAATTAGAACTCGGTTATTTGGAAGTCCCACTTAATTCAAAGTACTTCCACGGCCCCGTATTTTGCAATGTAAGTCGGAGTGGATAACATTAAACGGCGGTCAGCCAGTTCGGTTAATTCGAAAACTTTTGGTGCAATGTGCCAATTTCCAATACCGATTTCTCTGCAAATGTGTGCAAATGATGGCCTTTAAGAGCCACAAGGCAATGCAACGTAGCGATATTAATAAGTGGCATCTGAAGCAGCCTTGCCCCACGACTTCAAGTGCAAAAAAAATTGGCAGATCCCACGTAGAATGGGAATCGATGATATGCGAAGCACGAATGAGGAAGATTGATATGTTACTTTAAAATCACCACAACATTACGAGGTGTAGGCGAATTATGCCGTACACGACTTTCGCATCATGATTATCATGTTTAGATGTGTCATTCACCTTCGTCATCTATTCATGTCACGTGATGCCAAATTTAGTATATGTGAACCTAGCGAATGGCCGCGAGCACGCTATGAGCGCGGTATGTTGTCATGTTCTTACATGACACGCGTGTCAGAATTATCAAGTTTGCACCAGTCATATATCATGTTTGCACCAGTATAAACGGCCGCAAGTGCATCATGAAGGGCCCAATATAGTCCAATGTAGCGATGAGGCGCGCGCACGCTCGGCACAATGACGATACGTTAGCAAAATTCACCTGCGGTCTAAGTTACGCCGGACAGTCAGGGAAGGGGAATTTAGTGAAAGAAAACTGAATACGAGAAAAGGAAACAAATCCAGGCATCAAAAAATTTCACTGAAATATGTCAAGAATTACGTACGCAGCGATACGGCTTCCTTCAAAAAGCTAATTTCTTTCTGAGAGAGAGCAATCGAGGGAGTGAGTGCTTGCGATTCACCCCTTCACTGATATGCGTGTAAAAAGCTTCTGTAATCTACCTCTCTCTTTTGATTAGCCAATCACGCCAATACACTAAAACCTCTCTAATTCATCATCACTATCATCATCAGCCTGACTACGTCCACTGCAGGACAAAGGCCTCTCCCATGTTCCATCAGTTATATCGGTCCTGTGCTTGCTGCTGCCAATTTCTACCCGCAAACTTCTTAATCTCATCCGCCCACCTAACCTTCTGTCTCCTCCTAACACGCTTGCCTTCTCTGGGAATCCAGTTAGTTACTCTTAACGACCAGTGGTTATGCTGTCTACGCGCTACATGCCCGGCCCAAGTCAATTTCCTCTTCTTGATTTCAAATATGATATCCTTAACCCCCGTTTGTTCCCTAATCCGCTCTGCTCTCTTCTTGTCTCTTAAGGTTACACCTACCATTTTTCTTTCCATTGCTCGCTGCATCGTCCTCAATTTAAGCTGAACTCTCTTTGTAAATCTCCAGGTTTCTGCTCCGTAGCTAAGTACCGGCAAGATACAGCTGTTATATACCTTCCTTTTGAGGGATAGCGGCAACCTACCTGTCATAATTTGAGAGTGCTTGCGAAATGTGCTCCACCCCATTATTATTTTTCTAGTTACTTAAGTCTCGTGGTTCGGCACCGCGGTTACTACCTGGCCTAAGTAGACATAGTTTTTTACAACTTCAAGTGCCCTATTACCTATCTCGATGCGCTGCTCTCTCGCGAAGTTGACGTACATTACTTTCGTTTTCTGCAGATTAATTTTGAGACCCACCTTTCCACTCTCCTTGTCAAACTCCATAATCATGAGTTGCAATTCGTTCCCTGAGTTACTCAGCAATGCAATGTCATCAGCGAAGCGCAGGTTACTAAGGTACTCTCCATTAAATCTTATACCTATCTGTTCCCATTATAGGCCTCTGAAAACCTCCTGTAAGCACGCAGTAAATAGCATTGGCGAGATCGTATCCCCCTGCCTTACACCCTTCTTGATCGGTATTCTGTTGCTTTCTTTATGAAGCACTATGGTAGCAGATGATCCCCTGCAGATTTCTTCCAGGATGTTTATATATGCTTCATCGACGCCCTGATTCCGCAGTGTCTGCATGACTGCCGATATTTCGACTGAATAAAACGCTTTCTCGTAATCAATGAAGACTATCAATGAAGACTGTATTCTGTGCATTTCTCTATTACCTGATCAATAGTATGAATGTGGTGGATTGTCGAGTAGCCTGTTCGAAATCCTGCTTGTTCCTTTGGTTGATTGAATTCTAATGTTTTCTTAACTCCGTTAGCAATTACCTTTGTAAATAGCTTGTATACTACGTAGAGCAAGCTGATCCGCCTGTAATTCTTCAAGTCCTTGTCATCTCCTTTTTTATGTATTAAGATGATGTTAGCATTCTTTCAAGACTCTGGTACTCTTCCCGTCAGGAAGTAGTGAAGAGGAAACTTGGGATAGGCAAAAATCAGATGTACCGTATTTACTCGCATAATCCTCGCACTTTTTTTTGCCAGAAAACCGATGCAAAGTTGGGGGGTGGGAGAATTACGCGGGGAAAACTTTCTACGAAAATGCAGAGAGCGAAAAAGAAAACGAAGTGGCCGCAAATCGGAATTCTCACAAAAGCACCTCACAGCAGGCTTTAAGAAGTACTAATTAGAATTTACCTCAACAATAAAAGCAGAGGTTCAACACAAGGCAAGATTTATTTGAGACACAAAAAGTGGAAGCAAATAGTCGAGAGTTAGAATACCATACGCAAAGCTTGTGGGCGTTGCGGTAGCGGTCGGCTCTCAACAGGAGCCCTCAAAAAGTAAGCGTAGGACGTCAGTATTGGGCTGATGGCTATTTAACAGAATCGTCTGCAGTTCCCTTCTGAAGAAATAAAGTTTACCATCAATCCCAGTTTTAGGCACATGGCAGACCTAACGAGTCTTGGTGGCTTTCAGCTGCCGTCACCAGTAGCGAACACAAAACTCGTAGGCTCGGAAGGGCCTACCGGCAGCCCTGTTGTTGTTGTTTAGCGCATGATCTATCACTTGCAACTTGAAGCAGCCGTGTGGCTTCAGTATCGCCCCCATAACGTGCCAAGATTACCGACACAACACACGAAACACGCCGCAACGCGCACTGGCCACTTCGGCTTGGCTTGGATTGGATTGGATCTGCATGCAATAGTACGCTTGATGCTTAAGAGATGGCACCAGATGGTGCGCGCTATCGTCATCAATGGCTGGAACGAGCAGACTACATTATTGCGGCAGTTTTCGGGGGTGCGATAATTACTCGAGGAAAAAAAATCGTATTTTTTCTTGGGCGATGTTGGGGGTGCGAGAATTATGCGAGTGAGAGGATTACGCGAGTAAATACGGTATGCACTAAGGGACAAAAAAGGCAAAATTACTCTCTAATTAGAACTGGGTTATTTTGAAGTCATGCTTAATTCTACACTTAAAAAGAAATGTATGGACAAAACGTTAAACACATCTAAATCAAGCATAGTAAACGTGAGCACTGCTTTATCAATATAAGTAACATTCTAAATTACTCCACTGAGCAACCAATGAAGTCCAGATTAGCATTTGCCGTGCCTGTCGAATCCTTTGAGAAACTCTGCGAATTCAGCTGTGACTCTGTCATGCTGGCGACATTGAAATTCGGGAGATTCGTAAAACTGAGAAGTGGGATGGCAAGGAAAAAAAAAACTGACGCACAAGATTTTTCCTTTTTTATGGTAGTAGAAATGTCATGCGCTGTTCCAAATGATTGCCAGTAACAATTTTAGACGCCAGCAAGCAAAATGCTACTCCGAATTTTGTGGCACACACACGTATGAGTAATTGAACAAAATGTGCTGTGTCCCGTGACTAGGGCTAACAACTCCTTCCAAATTATATTACACCTTTTTGCGGTACACCAGCGTACTGCAGAGAAGGTGACTTAAGCAGCGTTCTGCGCACGTTAGAACTGCTGCCCTAACCCAGATAAAGTAACAAAGGTGCGCACCCATTGGCCCGGCAACGACGTATATCTATTGCAGGGGCGACGCAACATCAAGCCAGA